TGTGCCCTTTCCTGGCTTTGGTATCAAGGTGATACTGGTTTCATAGAGTAAGTTGGGGAAGATTCTCTCCTTCTCAATGTTATGGAATAATTTCTAGAGTATGGGTACCAGGTCTTTCTTTGCAGGTCTGGTAAAATTCAGCTGCGAATCCATCTGGTCCAGGACTTTTTTGTTGTTGTTGGAAGCTTTTTTATTACTGTTTTAATCTTCTTGCTTGTTATTGGCCTGTTCAGGAGTTCTATTTCTTCCTGATTGAACTTGGAAGGTTGTGTGTTTCCAGGAATTTGTCCATTTCCTCTACGTTTTTGAGTTTATATGTATAGAGCTTTTCATAGTATTCATGGATATTTTGTATTACTGTGGTATTAGTTGTAGTATCTTTTTCATTTCTGAATGAGCTTATTTGGGTCCTTCCTCTTCTACTCCTGGATAATCTAGCAAGAGGTCTACCAATTTTGTTTATATTTTCAAAGAACCAACTTTTTGTTTCATTGATCCTTTGTACTGTTTTTGGTTTTTTTTCCATTTCTTTTAGTTCTGCTCTGAGCTTAGTTATTTCTTTTCCTCTGCTGGCTTTGGGTTTGGTTTGCTCTTCATTTTCCAGTAGATTTTGAACAAAAATTGAGTGCTATCTCATTATTCTGGAAAGGTAAATTAGCCCTTACTCTAAAGATCAGCTGGGCCATAAACAAATTTGCTAAGGAGGTATGTAACGTATTGGAAAACAAATAAGGGCTAACAAGCATAACTAAGTGGTCCATCCATTAAGGTACCAGTGATCAAATCCCTACCTGGAAATTTTTTTGGTTATTGAAGTTACTAAATATATTTGAAAATAAAAGAAAGATCTTACTATAAATAGAAATGTAATGCAGGTGACTAATCTTCCTACACAATTAAATTCATCACAAAACATTTAAATCAAATTTTCATATATCCAGACTCAAAAGATCACTTAATGCTGCAGCATTTAGCCTGAGAATAGCCACAAAAGAATGTCAGACTCACCCTGATCATGCCGCCTACAACTTCCATCACCCTGCCTCGATACCACATAGTATCGGATCCTCTTACTGCACAGGCTTCTCCCTTTTTCCAGAAATAAGGCTCCAAAAGACCAAGGCATTTTAAATTACACTGAATTTTATTCATCATTTTTCCTAGCCCAAATTCTGGAAAAAATATTAAAGACAGAAAGCATTTAGGAAAAATGCCCTACCACTTTTCAATAAGAAGTCATCACCAATCTTTAATAACTTCATAATTTAGGTAATATAAAGAACCAAAAATCAGCCCCCCATAGGACTTTCACAAAAATCTGTATGTTTCAAAACATACTGCTAACAGCATACAATTATTCTGATCTTTGATTGTTATGATTATTATTTTTTTAAGAGATGGGGTGCCTCCCTGTCACCCTGGCTAAAGTGCAGTGGTGCAATCTAGCTCACTGCAACCTCCAACTCCTGGGCTCCAGCAATTCTCCTGCCTCAGCCTCCTGGGTAGCTGGGACTACAGGCGTGTGGCAACATGCCTGGCT